CATTTTTACAAGAAACATTTTTTTCATTTACACAATCTTCAAGAGCTTCACGTGCAACTTCACGATCAATTGATGTTATAGTAGAATAATATCGATTATTACATTCATGATTAATTATAAAATTGTGTAAACAGCATGTTGCTTGTATAATACTGTTACTTAAAGGAATAGACGCTATAATTGGTTTTCTAAAAATTCGCCATCTTGCGACTAATATTCCAAAAGAACTTTCTATTACACGTCTTGCACGACTCAATCTGTAGTTAAAGATCTTTTTTTTCCGATCAAGTTCTTGACTCCGGGAATATGGTCGCATCATATATTCTTTTAAAGCAAAGGCTTCATCAGCAACAATTACATATGGTAATTTAGGACCTCCAACACTAACAATTTCTGGTGATGGTATTTGTAGAGAATTTTCTTGTAATCCAGTATACAACTTGCTATTTCTAAAAACTCCACCATCGCTTTGTCGTCCTTCTGCTCCAATGTCTACCACGATAAATCGATATTGTGCATCACACAAAGCAAGTAAATTCAAACTGTGCTGACCCTTGTAATTATAATAAATGGATCCACTGTTGGGAGGAGCCTATTTATCAATTTAAATATATAAATATATAAATATAATCCTTTTTTTATAAATAGTAAAAGTAAAAAAAATAAGTTTAGAAATTGACATACCTGAATTACAACATGTTTGCCGTCTATAGCTCCTATGCAGTGAGGAAAATTCCATTTTTCTTCAAAATCACTTGCTATACGTTTCCATGAGTTATTGTTTAATTGTGGAAAAACTTCATCTCGTAATGCAGTCCAAATTGCTTTACAAGTTTCAAACACAATTTTTGAAATAGTACTTGTCCCTACTCGAAACGCATAGGAAAGAGATTTCATACTGTCTCCTGCAGCTAAATAACGAAGACATATCTGTAAACGTGTATTTGGCGGTATTGGATCTCGAATACAATTTTGTTTCGTTAGATATGGTCCAACAGCAATTAATAATTTTTCATAAACGTCTACATTCATGCGGAAAAAATTAATGAATTTTTCATCGTTGTAAAAATATAATTCTTTTATTAAAGTTTCACTCGCTCCATATTGTGTTCGATTTTTGGTAGAAAAAAATAGGATGAACCCAATATTTTCTCTTCATTTTGTTTTGCTCGTTTT